GGGGGGGCCCGTACGCGGGTACCACGCTTACTCAGGGGCTGGATTTGAGCTCATTAGTACCTACCTGGACGGGGAACATTTCCATAAAATTTCAGCTCTCTATTTTTTTTGGTTCGCGAGTTAGCAGCTTACCCGTAAAAAACTTTGGCGGGTCTTACGTGGGTTCCACACGGGAAAGACCGCCCATTTTGGGGGTAGAGATGAAAAATCGGTACAGAAGCCCAGAGCACACACAGACACACACACACAAACACACACACAGACACGCACACACACACACACACACAAACACACACAGGCAACCTCTCGTCAGTATGCGTTTTTCGCATTGCATTGCTGCAAAAAACGCATAATAAACCAAGCACTGCAACCTGTGCTATTCTGAGGTTAGCCGGGTGCTGCTAAGTTTCTGTGTTCCGCAGTCCTCAAACAGAGTAGGCAATGTGAAGAGAACGGAAATGTGAAGGTGTCGTCTTCACAGCTTGATACTTTACCAAAATATGTCGCAAAAGCAGCTGGTAGGCTTCCCATGGTTGATCGCAACGAAAGCTTCATTACCCAGAATTTAGCCCATCAGTCAACCCGGCGTTTGTTTTTCTGCTTTCTTTTTTCTTTTTTATGGGATAAATGCTAGATCTAATACATTTTTCCCACGCCTTTATTTCACCTGTGTGATCCTTTTCAGTACTATTCCACAGCTGCCACACGCGTGAGTGAAACTGCACCAGTTAGTCGTTCATTTTATTTCTTTTTTGACTGTCGTAAAACTAAGAAAGTTGAAGGTTCTGTTCAACCCAGAGCTCCAAGTTCTAAAATGAGTTGTTCCTTTGTGGATTTGCTTTGCGCTTAGCCAAGACACGGAAGGTGTATTCCGAATTATTATTTCAGGCGGCAGACATCTATTTAAAAATATTTTTGAATGGAAGCGAGAAAGAAGAAAAAACCGACGTGCATTATCGAAGCCTGGATGGTTACGGGTCGTTCAACTGGCGCTTCGTGCTCGATTTCGACTTTGATATTTGGGAGAAAAAAATTGCAGCTTATAGAAAAAGACGGTTTTTCAGGTTCATTGCATATTTTTCGTCTTT